ATCTAAATTGTCTGTAATAAGGTAAAATCTGCTTTCATCTATATCTTTGCAGCTCCACGGATGTCCACTGAGGCTGAAGATAAGAATCAGGTACAGAATATATTTTGGAGGTCATGTGCAGAGAGTCTACACTCTACCTTTCCCTTTTTTTTCCCCCTCATAATTACCATAATATTTTTTGATTTTTGTAAAACTTTTGATATTTTCTGGTATCCCTCTGGACAAAATGTGCAGTCCACAGCTGGACAAACACATGATGTGACAGGTGAGCAACTGGCTTAGGGGTTGGCCATAAAGGGTTTCAGTGAATGGAGTGACATCAGACTGGTGACCTGTCACTAGTGGAGTTTTGCAGGACTCCATCCTTGGCCCTGTGTTCTTCAACATCTTCATAAATGACTTGGACACAGGACTAGAAAGGACACTAAGAAAGTTCACAGATGATACAAAATTGAGAGGAGCCGTTGACTCCAGTGAAGGGCAGAGAGGCCCTGCTGAAAGACTTGGACAAATTGGAGGGCTGGGTAATTACCAACAATGTGAAGTTTATCAGAGGAAAGTGCTAGATTTTGTACCTGGGGTGGAACAACCTGGGATGTGTGGGCAGACAGGGCAATGAAATACTGGAAATCAGCACTGCAGAAGGGGACCCGAGGGTCCTGGTCGATGGCAAGCTGAATGTGAGTCAGCAGTGCCCTGGCAGCCAGGAGGACCAAGTGTGTCCTGGGTGTATCAGGCACAGCATCACCAGCTGGGCAAAGGAGAGGATTGTCCCTCTCTTCTCTGCTCTGGGGAGGCCTCACCTCCAGTGCTGGGGGCAGTTTTGGGTGCCACAATATAAGAACGATATGAAGGTGTTAGACAGTGTCCAAAGGAGAGCAATTAAGATGGTGATGAGCCTTGAGGGGAAGTGTTATGAGGAGCAGCTGAAGTCACTTGGTCTGTTTTGCACAGAAAAGACTGAGGGGTGACCTCACTGCAGTCTACAACTTTCTTGTGAGGGGAAGAGGCGGGCAGACGCCTCTGCTCTGTGGTGACCAGTGACAGGACCCCAGGTAATAGACTGAAGTTGTGTCAGGGTAGATTTAGGCTGGGTATTAGACAAAGGTGGTCAGGCACTGGAACTGTCTGCCCAGAGAAGGGGTCACAGCACCAGCCCTCACAGAGTTCAAGAAGCACTTGGACAATACTCACACCAATATGGTGTGGCTCTTGGGGATGGGTGCTGTTCAGGGCCAGGAGATGGACTCTATGACCCTTGTGGGTCCCTACCAACTCAGCTTATTCTCTGATTGTGTGTCTTTGATATCACCAAGAATAAAATTATGAGATGGCTGAGAGCTGATATCAAGTTCTACTAGAGTAATCAAATTTTAGAAGACAATACTTCCTAAGATCTCTTCAATTCTAACAAGTATCTTCCAATTTCCTTTAGGAAAAATTTTAATGTTAGACATGCTGAGCCTCTGTGACTGATGCATAAAATTTGTGTCTCAATGTTTCAAAAAATGTCTCATAGCCGTAGAACATATTTGCATTATGCTTAACGTGAGATATTTATATAATCTATAGCTGAGTTAGCAAATAGAAACAGTATTATATGTAGAATCATGTCTGGTATGTGTTCATTAGGCAAATAGCATTGATGCAGAAACTAAAATTAGCATGTATACCAAAACAAAGTGCGTTTTTTTTTGTGTACATGAACACCCCAGTGGATTGACATATAAAGGGAAACCTCATGACCTATCAAAATTAGAATCTCAGACTACAAGAGTAAAGGTAGGAGAGGTGATCAAAATTCTCTAGTTGCTAGGCATTTTATGGAAAGAGGCCACATTCACTCATCTTATTAAAATTCATGAAAATTGAAAATATCCAAAAGCCCAGGAGGGGTGGGGTCACAAAATCTATTTCACAGAACTGGGAAGCTTACTCTAAATTCACCTTGAAAGCACTTTCCCCATCACAGACTTCCTGAGAGCCTTTTGATTTCTCTCCTACTTAGGAGGTAATTATAGAACTCCTTTTCCTCCCTGACTAACGCATACAGAAGAGTTCACTTCAGCCTTTTATGCAGATTACAATGGTTTGTTCCTGACCAGATCTCTATTGCAAATTATTTCTCCTTTTCTCTCTCTCCAATTCATCTATTTTGCTTTATTTCCCTTTGTTTCTCACACCTCATCCTCTATGTCAATTGATATCAGAACTACTTTAGTCTTAAATATTGTTGAACTTTGCACTTCTCTTTTTCTCTTTTAATTTGCTTTTGCATTTAATTTTAAATTTACTGTTGTCAGAAAACAATGACATTCAGGCATAGGGATGATGGAAGAGGGTTTTTAAACAAAGGCTGCAGAGTGTATTTCTCCTATTGATAAATCTCTTAAAAGATACAAATCTAAAGAATAAATTATTCCTAAAAATATTTTTAAGGGCACCAGAATCATGAGATTTTTAAGGTATCCACAGTCATTTCAGTCAGGAAGAATCTGATTTTATGAGTTTAAGATGCCTATGATAGATACTTGGCTTATGTTGTCTACTCTGGTCCTAACAGCTACCACTGCTTTTATTTTTTGTGCAAATTGACACTAGATGGAATATTTGATGGAAAATCGACACCATTCTGTTTTCTCATAAGGGAAGTCTCTCTCCTTGTGACACTGCCACTACAACAGAACCACAGAATTTCTCCATGCTCAGGCACTTCCCCTGTTTTAGGAACATGTTAAGATGAATATTTATGAATAACTAATAAACAGTGTTTCCAAGATAAAACCAAAGCTGAGACATCACTTAACCACCAAAGCAATACTATTTTATGCAAACTAGAATTAGAGTCAAGAACAGTGGCCTTTTTATTTTTTTGGAAACAGGCCACTTTTTTCTCTTCAAAGAAAGCAGGCATAAGGTAGCATTTATTTTTTACTCCGCTTTTCTAATATTGGATAAAAATTTTAGGACATGAACCATAGCAGTATTGCAGCAACCAGCTTGCTAACATACATCCAAAGACAGCATTCCAAATAAAAGCAGCAGACCTGCATGGCTCATCATACTATTTTGCAAGTGATGTCAATGGTCAATAGCAGACCAGTAGTATTCCCCTGAATCCACCAAGCATACATAAGTGCTAATAAAGAGAAAAAGGAAATGCTTTTGGCATGAAGAAGCTATCAATATTTTTGCTTTAAGTGACAGTATAAGAATAAAGACTTGCTACAAAGCCCTCGCTTGGAAAGCTGGTCTGCTTTGAAATCAAGAAATCACAGCTGTGACTAAATCAACTAAACTAGGCATCACCAAAAGTTATTAAGAACATGTTTTTCCTCAGTCTAACTATTCTGCTTTATATATTATTCACTCAGCCAGCTGCAAAGCTCTCTACCATTCTTGATGACTTCAACAGTAGTTGTTGGAGAAGCTTTTATACATTTAGAGTAAGTATATAAAAATATTTATAGCATTAGTGTTTACAGTAAGTGGCCTTAAAAGAGAAATTTTTATATTCATCAAGCTTAAGTATTGTCATTCATCAAGCTTAAGCATTGTCATTCATCAAGCTTAAGTTGTCCTCTACCCTGATGAATCATATTCACATCCAAGTTCTAAAGAATCTAAACAAAATCCAGTATTTTTTCTCTTCAAGGTTGTCTACCTCCTCAGCTTTAAGTTCTCCCTCTTTCAGAATCCTATCTGGCACATGGGAGAGATTTTTTCAATAAATCAATACTGTAATAAAAAAATGACTGTTTTTACACTCTCCACATATTAACGGAATTTCTCTTATACAGAAAAAAAACATTCACCTTAGCTCTATAATTGACATTCATTTTTAAAAGCAGACCTCAATAAAAGAAGCACCTGGCAAAAACGTGAATCTAAAATATCACTGTGTTAAATCTTGTCTGCTTTGACATAATAGCTAATCACTTAATTTGGTTTCAGAAAGAATAATAACATTTTTCTGCTTTCAAAGTATACTTTTGAGAAAAAATGCCATCTGAAAGAAATGCTGAGTATAGTCATGTAAAGTAATAGCTATCATTTTTTTGTCAGCAAAATGGAAGGCTAGTGTTTTCAGCAAGAATGAAATTAGCAGTTTGTCCATAAAAAATGTAAGAAACAAAGCCAAATTATATGCTTTTTCCTAAAATGCTTATAGCATAAATACCCATTGTCAGGGTTTAACCCCAGCCAGCAGCTAAGCACCACACAGCTGTTCACTCACTCCCCCACAGTGGCATGAGGGAGAGAATGGGAAAAGTGAGAAAACTCATGGGTTGGGATACAGCCAGTTTCATAGGTAAAGCAAAAGCCACACCGAAGCAAAGTCATAAAGGAACTCATCCACCACTTCCCATGGGCAGGCAGCTGTCTGGCCATCCCACAGCCTACTTTCTGGAGAAGGGTAAGAAGTAGAAAAGGCCTTCAGGCTATACAAGCACTGCTCAGCAGTAAGGAGAGCATCCCTGAATTAGCAACGCTCGTCCCAGAAAAATCCAAAACACAACCCCATATTAGCTACTATGAAGAAAATTCTGTCCATCCCAGCTGAAACAAACACATCCCTACAGCACCTGTATGGAAAATGTTATATACATGATAAAATTGCTCTCCAGCACATGTACACACAAGGAGAAATTACCTTCCAAAATTTTAACAGAAGAATTTTTAAAACCACTATTTAACTCACTCCACAAAATTAGTTAAAAGGAAAGAGAAGGTAAAGCATAACAGACCCCTTGAGTCATACCAGCAACCAAAAAAAATTTTAATGTTCTGCTAAATACTGTCATCCCAAAATGGGTTTGCTAATCTCGGGATAGCTCTCCTGACGGCAGCTGCATTCCAAATAACTGTGTTATTAGCAAAGCTCTGTTCTGTTCTGATAAAACACTGAAGGGCTGTACAAGTAATAGAAGTCAAAAAAAACCCCCACTGACAATAAACATCACTACAGCACACACCTCCATTCCATAGCAATTACTTACCCAAATGTTTCCATCCTGGTGGTATGGTTTCCAGTTTCTCCCTGTATCGCTGTAGAGCATCCGATATTGAGTGACCCAGTCAGAGCTGCTGTACCTGCCTTGAGTTGCAACAGCACTAATCTGCTTCCTGTTCCCAAAATCCACCTGCAGCCATTGGTAATGATCACTGTCTGATGGAGACCAACCTCCTGCACCTGTTGTGAAGAAGCAGAAGGGAGATTTAGATCTCAGGCAGTTGCTTTGATGTGAATTCATTGTGAAGATGCTGATTGCTGGAAGTCAGCCCAGCTGTGAGGAATAGAATATCAAAAAAAAAAAAAAAAATTTTAACACCTACAAAAGAAATATGAGTTCCCATTGGAAAAAAAAAAAAAGGCAGAACAAACTTTAGTACAAGCTTTAAGTACATTAAATGTATTGCCCTAATAATATTTTTTATATCATTACAATGTTTTAATGTGATGCCTGCTAACCAGTCAATGCCTTCATAATGTTTTAATTACAGTTTATTACTTTTTGCCAAGTTATAATTTTTCAAGAGTTGACCAATTTTACATCAATTCCTTTGTAAAAGTAAGGCACAAATCAATAAAAATTTTTGGATTTTCTATGCCTTTTTATTACCATTTCAAGTTGAAAAGATAATACAGCTAAAAGGTGAGGTAATAAGAGCAAGTTCTCTGCTTTTTTATGTTTCAGTATAGACCACAAACTGAAAGATCTCTCAGAAGAATTGAAGGAGCAGGTAATGCAGGGATAGATTCAGTTTTGATCTGCTGGTTGCACAAGCTGTCACAGATTACATTGGCAGATGCCTTACACAAGTATTATTGCTCTTTATGGGTCTATGAATTAACTTGACAGTAATACTATTAATATTCTTATCAGCCACCAGACTACTTTAAACTGCTCTAAATAAAGAAGGCCAGTGATGCATAGATCAATGTAGTATTGAGACATTAATGCAATTTCCTATTCTGAAATAAAAACATTTAGGGGGAAACTGTATTAGGATTCTTCAGAGAACAATAAAATTTCTCAGATATATATTATAATGATATAGCTATAATTAGGAAATACATGAAATAAAAAAGCTCATGTATCAAAATAGGGAAAAAGTGGAGTATCATTCTTTTTATAATCATAAAACACATTAATACACAGAAAACAAAATATTTACAGACTTGATGCGATTTACAGGCGTTTTATTTTGCTTTTAGTTTTGAACAAAATAAATGTCTTGGCACACCATCAAATCATGTAGTCTAGTCCATGGACCAATTTTTATTGCTTTTAATTTCACTTATAGTCTTCAATTGATGTCACAAGCCTTGCCTGCCTGCCAAACAAGCAACATTGCTATAATGCATCTTATATACTCCCATCATTAGGCGGCAGCATTGCCTCAGTCTTCGATAACCCTAAAACTCATTCAGCTGCTACAGGTGTTAATGTTTGCAGGCCATTGGACATTTTAATGTCATCATATCAACATGATCTAATGCCTCATGTGCTTGCCTTCCTTTGTAATTAAAAGTGCAGCACTACACCAGTGCAACTAATTTGTTAAAATTCTCAAGATTTACAATGGATGCTTTCTCCCTGCTCTACCCAGGAAAATAAACAGGATACTTTAGCTGTAGGGAATAGTTAAATTATATTTAAAACAGATAAACCCAAAATAATGCACTTTCTGGAAAGCACTTGCAGGAAGAATATTCCCACACATTCCCAAATTCAAACTAGATCTAGTCTTGCAGAGACTGATCATTCAAAACAGAATGCAGCTTCTTCATAACTACTATGCATGGAGATTGGAAGACTTAGCTCTACATACTTGTAATAGCAGAGATGATGTCTTCTCTCCCTGTCCTAATATCCTCATTAAACTGTGATTATGATTATTATAGCTGTGATTGATGACATACAAAAGATAAAAAGTTGGCACTGTATAAAAGCCATCTTTACAAAAAACTCTTTTGTGGCTACTGAACAAAAATAAAGTTCAAATGTGAGCACTTAAAAAATGTTTATGAAAGACAAGTTAAACAGGCAATCAATAAAATTTCCTTCATCAATGCAATTGTTGAAAAAGTGTGACAACTACAATGCTATGAATGTTAAAATAGATATTATGGTTTTTACCATAATGCAGGAGGCTTACATTGAACCAGGAGATTTTGTTAAGCACATTTAAAAGAAAAGACTTCGAAGCATAAGAAGAAATATTTTCTTTATTTAGTACATTCATATTACTTAGACAAGACTTTGGCCTTCTGTAATTGATAAACAGTCATTGTAAATTTCATCTAGGTTTCAAAGAGTATTCACCTACAAATCCTTTGAAAAGCTTGTAAAAATTAAGTGCTAGCATTCCTTTCCTCAATTTTTTTTTTTATGTAAGAAGAGCTAGAAAACATTTTTACATCATGCTCAAGAAAAGTTAAAGAGATGTGACACAATAGTCACATCTAGGCCATGAGATAGAAACACTAGTTTTGCAAGACAGACTGCCCTATAACCATTTCTAACAAGAAAGAGACAAGAGTTTTAGTCAATGTTGCGAAGAGCAGCAAACAATATTATCCTACATCTCAGTTCCAGATTCGCCTTCTGGCTTTTCCAAGCAAGCAAAGAAACAAATAGTCAAAAGGATGAAGGAGAAACACGATGTGTTACAGCTGAATGTGCTGCTGAGCAGATCAGCATGGCAAAGGAATGGTGGAAACTGAGCAGGCAGGGCAGCCATCAGCCAGTCATCAGAAGAAGTCTGTGAGCATCAATTAAATGTGTCTTCTTCCACTTTGAGTCCCCAAGCTGTGTAATTTGGGGGAGATGACTACTTCGTTCATTTTGTTGCTGATACATGTGACCTTTAGTGGTTCAAGGATCCTTTTTTCTCCTTCAAAATATTTATTTTCAGGTACATGCTTTAAATGAGTTATGAAAATGTTGGATTCATACAAATTTCCCCACTGTGAAATCTTGGAAACACTCTGAATTCACTGGAAGAATTTAAGTACATTTGCATCTCCATTCAATCTAAGTAGATAGAAAAATCTCACATCCCCATAAATGTGAGATTTACACACATGCTCACAGTTCTTCATATCCTTAAATATCTCGCTGAATAAAATGCTGTTTTTCCATTGGGATTCAGAATTTGGTTTGATACTAGATTAGGAGTAGAGGAGTTACTGATAATTACATATTTTGCCTTTCTGAAGGAGTGAGGAATTCGGAAATCAGGCCTGATTTCCACAATATGGCATTATTTTTGAAATAAACAGAACTCTGTGGCCAGTACTTTATGAAAGAACAATGAATTTTCTTTAGGGAAGGAGCAAAATAACAGCATGTTAGTAGATTACAGGGAACATTACGTCACATTGGAACTAGAGTGGTGTATTAAAACTGCTGAATAACTGCTATTCAGAGTTATTGTTCACACCTTGGTGTAAACTGTTCATTTTTAATAGTTATTGGCGATATCCTGAATTTTATTACATTTATTATTTGCACTTTTTATTATGGCAGAAAAATAGGCACTGGATAAATGTTTTTTCCTACAATGCTCCGTTTATTTCATGTACTGTCTTTTAACGACAAATCGTGCAATATACTAAGAAATCAATAGACTTACAAATTAGAAGGAAATTAGAACTAAAAAAATTGTTTTAAAGATACTAAACACATGCATATAATACAATTTACTTTCCTTTAAAAAGTAAGGAGCATTTATGGAGCTTTTAGGTAATAACAGTGCAATTAATTCAATTGCAAACAATATCTGCTTCCTATTTTTATTTTTATGCCGTTTCAGAATTTAATGTGATTAAACTTATTCATGCAATCAGCAGACAAAATATTTGACCCAGTGACATGAACTGGTTTATACCTCATAGTACTCTACACCACACACAGGGCAACTCATTTAAACTTGAGCAAGAATGACTGTATGTGAACTTTTGTCAACAGGGAACTCCAAGTTCAGCAACAGTAAAGTCATCACTGAGCATGTGGCCCAAATATCTTTGAGCATCCAAGAATCTTTCCTGTGTATAAAAGCCTAGAAGTTTAATCAGCACAGCCAGCCAGAGCATACTGCTGGTAAAAGGTGGCTGTGAAAGATTTCATAAAGCATTCTTTTCTAAACAAGACACTTGATCTGCTTCTACTGCACACTGACCAAGCTACTGAAACAAAGACATGACATGTCTTATGCAGAAGATATAAAACTTTATTCAGAATGCTAAGAACTTGTAAAAGTGGAAATGGTTAAAGATTTTGCTTCAAATAAAAATGATTGCTAACAGTATTAGCTTCTTTATTAATGAAGTTGAAGTTCAAAGGTTTATTTTTTTAAAATTATGAACATTCCAACATATTTCCTGTTTTTATTGCATTTTATTCCACAAATTTATTCTGTGAAACAGAAAGCAGCATGAAAAACATAGTTTATTTCTGAATGACACATGCACAATACATTTCAAAGAGTATAAAGAATTTAAGTCAACATGGGCCTATTTTTTCATGTAATTTCTTCAATTTTATTAGTTACACATTTCAGCTCCCTATTCAAAGTTGGTGAGTGAGTTACCTCCCATTTAGTGCACACAAAGACAGCCAACATGATGAGTTAGCCTTACTTTCCTATCATTCCCCACGATTGTCAGTAAATAGCAAAGCTGGGGTAGGTTCACAGATTTTATATTTTTATCTGAACTGTCATAGGATACTGAACTTACAGATCTATAAGAAGGGAGACAATGATGGTTTTTGAAAATCTGTTCTGTTTCACTTAGAAATCATTCTTTTGAAAATTTGGGACTTTCATTCATGATGAATGAATGGAAACCATGATGATAGAAACACTAATTTGCACAGGAAGAATCCATTCTTGTTTTAGTCTCACTTGTTCATCACTCCCTACTTCAAATAGCAAAATTAAAAATGCCAGTACTCCAGTAAGTCTAGTGTTTTACTCTTTCCAAATCAGTAATAAAAAAATTTCAATGGCATGAATTAAAAAACAAGAGGATCCTTACTCAGAAATTTCATTAGAAAGCAAATTAGAGCTGTAAGATGTATGTTTGGGGCAGTTACAATTCAGGGGATTATTTTGTCTAATCATAGAACAATTCTATAGCCTTTCAGCAAGGAAAAATATGCCTTTTTTAATTATAATTATGTA